TAAAACTAACATCAAGGACACATCTGATTGTCTCAAACCTTGTAGGATGCATAGATCATGGGAGGACATGTAAATGATTAGCAGCACAGCATAAATGCAAATCATGTCTGCCAGTAATTCATAAAATATATTGACTGAATGTAATATATCTTATAATTTGATTGTGTCATTATAAACATTAAAAGAATTCAAATATGAGGTCTGTTCAAAAAGTATCAGACTTTTATTTTTTCCGCGTAAACCAATGATGCGCGGGAGGCCTCTTTCGGTGGAGTTGTGGAAGGGACAGTCATGCACAGCCCTGAATTTTTTTCCCGCCTGCAGGAAGCGTCAGTCGTTGGCAGTCGGCCTATGAGTGAGGACATGTAGTGAGCTCTCGTTGGATTCCACTAAGTTGGAAAATGACTGAACAACATGAGCAGCGATATTACATCAAATTTTGCCAAAAACCTTGGCGATACCCAAGCATAAACTATTCGCAAGATTCAGCAGGCTTTCGGGGACAATCCTCGAGGCCAAAAAAAGCATGTGACGCAAACGACCGGATCTGTGGTTGATCAAAACTTGGCAGCTCCATCGTGATAACGCATCCGCCCATTCTGCACATCTGATTCAGGCTTTCGTCGCCAAACACAACACTCCTGTGGTTCATCACACTCCATACTCTCCCCACATGGGTCCATGTGGCTTTTGGCTATTTCCCAAGCTGAAAATGCCACTAAAAGGAACCCGATTTTAGTTGAGAGAAGACATCGTGCAGAATGCAACGGACCGGCTGATGACCATTCCAAAAGATGAGTTCCAGCAGTGTTTCCAGCAATGGCAGGAACACTGGGAGAAGTGTATACACTACCAAGGAGACTACTTTGAAGGGGATTAGGATTTTGTACCTCAAAATCAATAAATTTATTTTTGCCGACCAAAGGTCTGATACTTTTTGAACAGCCCTCGTATATAGTGTGACATTCATTACTAGTAACAATAAAATACTTTATGTAAAAATCACACCAAAGTATCATATAATACAAAATATTCTCATAAATCAAGTTCATACTACATTTTTAAAGCCAAATGAACTGTTGGATTATTTTTAAGCTTTAAATAATTATTAATTAGAAGTAATGTAATTTGATTAGAGGTAGAATAGACTGAAATATTCCAGACATTGCATCTCATACTAATTAATAAAATTATGGAGATGGAGGCATAATTGCCTATATCTAATCAAATTACATTACTTTTAATTACTAATCTATTTGTAGCCAAAAAATAATCTGGCATTTTGTTTGGCTTATATTATAGATAATTCAGGTAAATGTTGTTATATTAGTATTTTTAGAGATAAAATTATCTTAATATATAAAACTTCTAAAAAACCAAAATATTTAATCACTAACAAACATTTTCAACCATATTCAACAGTCATAATCAGGCTTACATATTCAAAGATAGAATACAAATTTTAAAATGGACTGCAGAAAGGTTTATGTATTAGGGAGAAATGTTTCTGAAAATTTTCATAAAAATCTGATCATTGGTTCTCTAGATATGGCTCCATCCTCTTAAATTAATATCTGATGAATCAATGGTCTGATTTTCCTGAAAATTTCTAAAAACGCTTTCCCTGATACACAAACTTCCCAGCAAAATTTCAGAAATTTTTGACAAAATGCTTGTGTGCATTTTGTCAAAGTTACTAAGCTTCAAAATGGGTAAAAAAACCAATTTTTTTAATGAGTAATCTCTTTCATCAGTTTTTATGAGTAATGTCTTCCATCAGTAATTTTGTTTACATATGAAGACTTAAAGGCAATGGTAGCAATTATTAGACACAATTTGTCATTCTATTCTCATTCATCTACAAAATCAGCCATTTTCTTTGTTGGAAGTGCGAGCAGTGGAAACGGCTATCAAACTTGCTTGGTAGCTGCTTCCTGCACGCGCATGTAGAAGCATCATCTAGTGCAGTGATTCTCAACCTTTTTTTCATCACAGTACAGTTTTAATAATTTAAAAATTTGGTGGCACACACAGTTACTTGGTTAAGTACTGTAGGACAACCGGTGATGTCATAACAGTGATTTTTAAATACAGTTGGTTATTTAGATCACATTTTCTAAATATCTTAGAAACTACAGACAGTTTCCGGTAATACCGGTTACAATTTCCAAATACACCCTAGGAAGGTAGAACCGATTAAACTACTGGTCTCATGTTGCTTATGTATGGGACAATTGCAATGACGGCACATTCAAAAATCTTGCGGCACTTTAGTGTGCCACGGCACAATGGTTGAGAATCATTGATCTAGTGGTTGCTGCATGCTAAACGCGGTTACTCTGGACACCCACATTTGCTTGAACCAGTTTGTTCACTCTGCTTGGAAGCGCAATCATGCTCATGGTTGCTGGATGCTGCCACATAGGACGTAACCTAAAGCTACAAGTTTGGCTTGCATCCTGTTGGTTGAAGAAAGTCAGGCATCAGAAACTATTGACAAACTATTTCTGTTAATTAAGGTTTCACAAAAATGTTTTATTTATACTTAATACAAGTATGTACTGTACTTGCTGTTGTATTAATAAAATATCATACCTCCAATCAAATCTATTACTGTTTACTGTGTAGGAACCTCTATATTTCAAAACTTGTCTATCTTGAATTTTTTTCTTATTTCCATGTGATTAACGAGACAGGTTCAACTGTGTTTCTTAAATTTTTGCTTTCTTTGTTTTTGATAATGTTCTTATAATTGAACATAAAGATTTTTTGTTTATTGAAAATGCAATTTATAAATTCAGCAGAAAACATTAGGAACTGAACTCATAAATCTTGGAAATTACAATTCAAAAAACTTAAATAAACTGCAACAAAAAAACATGAGAAAAAAATGCAACAATAATTGAAAATATAATTAGAACAAAATGGAAAAACCACAATTTTTTTTATTAATGCAATAGTTTTTATACTAGTGTAACTTCAACAAATTGCATCAATAAAATACACCGAAACATAAAATTAATCTAACAGAAATAAATCCTGAATTTTAATTTTACAATACTGAAAAGATAATCTATTAGAAATTATTTTATAAGAAATAACAATAACATTTATTACTATATATGTTTTGTGTGTATATATACACACACACAAGTATACCCTAGACTAAGAAGGTAGATATATTCTGGAAAAGTAGTGTTATGTGAAACAAAGGACTAATGCAAAACATAGAGTTATGTTCCAGAAGTTAGCAAAAATATACTATATTTTTTTTGTTACTAAGAAAAATATGTTTATTAAAACAATCAAGAATTCATTTCCAATCAATAATTAACANGAAACAAAGGACTAATGCAAAACATAGAGTTATGTTCCAGAAGTTAGCAAAAATATACTATATTTTTTTTGTTACTAAGAAAAATATGTTTATTAAAACAATCAAGAATTCATTTCCAATCAATAATTAACAATCACAATTACTGTATTACACATTAATATTAATTTTAATTAAATGAGGGCAATTTCTTTTTTACAAAGTATCCTCATCATCTCAGTTTTTTTGTTGAACTTGATCAGAAATATCAGCAATGTCTTAATTTTTGATTTTTTCACAATTATTTTATGGAAGACAAAATAAAAATATGTTATTAATCAAAAATTTGTTCTAGAGGGTTGCATTTGTTCAGTCAAGTACTAAATGACTTTTCTCCATAATTTGTGTTTGAATACCGAATTGTTCAAGTACTGAAGTACCGCCATATTTGGTTTGTCACTTTTACAAATGAAGTAATCATTTGTAGATAAGTAATACTTACAGTTAAATAAACTTTACTAAATATGAAGATTAATCTATAAAAAGAAAACACAGTGACAGTCTTAAAGACTAAAAACTGAAAGCAACAACAACAACACCTAGGACAGAAAAGTTAGTGCAATCTTTTCTTCCTTATCCTCTTGTCCTATCAGTTTTAATAAAAGTAAACCTGACAAAAGTACAAAATAATTTGAAAATTTCATTATTCTAAAATCCATGGGAAAATTTGAAACAACATGCGTGCTTACTTAAATTTAAAAAAATATCAAATAACAAAGATGTAATATATATAATTATATACCCACGCACACTGTACACAATTAAATGAATTAATATATAAATCATTATTAAAGTTAACAAATTAATTTATTCTGATATCCTAAATGTATTCATGTGAAACACAGTTAATGCAAAAATGTTAAGAATCTCAAAACTGTAATTGTATTTATCCTTCAAAATCTTTTTACATTAGATACATCTTTCTAAATTCTCATGATGAGAAAGAAGTTATCTGATCATTACAGACAAAGTAATGGATCAATGTAATATCATCTATCAAGAATGACAGCATTTATTAAATTTATTTTTTCATTGTAGACTATATTAATAATTTGTTACCTACGTTATATAAAAAATATTTATTTTAAAATCATACGACATTGATGTAAACTTAATAAATCTTTTTTTTTTTCTTGTTTTGTATAAACTTTAATATTGCGAAATCTAAATGACATAACATTTGTCTTAGATCAAATACGAAGAGAATAAAATTATTTCCAGTAAACACACATACCAAAAACATTTAAAGTGTATTATACTTTTATATGTCTTATATTCTCTTATAACTATATTAATGAACTGATTAATAAATGCTACATAGTTGTTTTTAATGGGTTTACAACAAAATCTGGATCAAAGTATACATAATTTTGACCTAGTTATTGATTTAAACTGTTTACATCTGAGAATTTAACTAATTATATATAAAATTTGTGAAATTTTATATATAATTATTACATCCAAACCTCAAATAATATTTCTAAATATTTACCAATCTGGAAACTTACATGATGAAAAAATGTATGTTGAAAACACATTATTTCTCTATAAATTTGTATATGTTAGATATAAATTGTAGAATTATCATTAATCAATGTAAATTATAGATTATTGTATAGAATTTTACCCTCTAGCTGCTTCCAGACTTTTGATCAACTTCTTTATCTTCCATATTTCTACATTTCTATCGGCGTTAGATTCTTCTAAATTATATCCAGTCGAAGACATTTTCTTTTAATGATGATTAAAACGAAATAAAATAAAAAAGGAACTTAAAAATGTGAGCTTTTCTCTCAATCTAATGCACTTTGTTATTTGGCAACCACATTAACTTAGGCTTACATACAATTAAACTTAAAGCGGTTAATTTAGCCCATTAATAATTAATTTTGACTTTCGTCTTTGATAATAATATGGAAATTCTTCTAAATATGTTTAATAAGCGTAAACTACAAATAAATACATAGAAAAACTAGATAAATAGCGAATGGACCAATAGACCGATCGCTGAGTTACAAACATGGAAGCTAACACGAATGCAGCAATGCAGGTCGGGATAGAAAAGAAATTTGGCAATTTATTTTCCATTATTAAAAATTAATTTTTTTTTTTAAAAATTTAAAGATAATATAATAATTAATTAAAA